CTGTTTTTGTGCAACATGGCAGCTACTCCATTCCCGGCCACATGGACACTCTTTGATGGTTCCCCATATTGGCAGAGAACTCCTGTACAGCTCCTCGTTCATGCCCAGAACCTCCTCCAGTGCCCAGAACCTCCTCCAGTGCCCAGAACCTCCTCCATTCTATTTGGCTCTTCATTAACACCAGAGTACTCATATATGGCTCCCAAAAAATTTGTAGGGCCTCCTCCATTCTTTATGGTCCCCAGTGCCTGGAACCTCCTCTATACTTTGAGGTCCCCATCACCTGAGACCTCTTCCATTCCATATGGTCCCTCAGTGCCTGGAACCTTCTCCATGCTTTATGGCCACTAGCGCCTGGAACCTTCTCCACGCTTTATGCCTCTAGCGCCTGGGACCTTCTCTACGCTTTATGACCTCTAGCGCCTGGGACCTTCTCTACGCTTTATGACCTCTAGCGCCTGGGACCTTCTCAATAGTTTGAGGTCCCCATCACCCGAGACCTCTTCCATTCCATATGGAATGTCTCCTCCTCCTCCCATGCCCATCTCCAGGATTTCTCAAGGGCTTCTCCCATCCTCTGAAACTCCCTACCCCAATCTATCAGACTATCACCTACTCTGCATACTTTTAGGCGCACCCTGAAATCGCATCTCTTCAGGGAAGCCTACCCCACCCTCACCTAACAACCGATCTCCTCCACTCCTCCTACCACTCCACCCCCCACAGCTATCTCCTCCTGTACCACCACCCCCTCCCTCCTAGATTGTAAGCTCCAAGGATCAGGCCCTCCAACCCCTCATGTATTGTACGGTATTGTCTCCCTCCATAGTGTACAGCGCTGAGCAAACTGTCGGTGCTATAGGAGCCCTGTAGAATAATATGGCCCCCAGTGTCTGGGACCTCCTTCATCCTATAGGTCCTGGGACCCCCCCTCCATCCTATATGGCCCCCAGTGTCTGGGACCTCCTTCATCATATAGGTCCTGGGACCCCCTCCATCCTATATGGCCCTCAGCATCTGGAACCTCCTTCATTCTGTAGGTCCTGGGACCCCCTCCATCCTATATGGCCCCCAGCGTCTGGAACCTCCTTCATTCTATAGGTCCTGGGACCCCCTCCATCCTATAGGGCCCCCAGCGTCTGGAACCTCCTTCATCTGTAGGTCCTGGGACCCCCTCCATCCTATATGGCCCCCAGCGTCTGGAACCTCCTTCATTCTGTAGGTCCTGGGACCCCCTCCATCCTATAGGTCCTGGACCCCCTCCATCCTATATGGCCCCCCAGCGTCTGGAACCTCCTTCATTCTGTAGGTCCTGGGACCCCCTCCATCCTATAGGGCCCCCAGCGTCTGGAACCTCCTTCATTCTGTAGGTCCTGGGACCCCCTCCATCCTATATGGCCCCCAGCGTCTGGAACCTCCTTCATTCCTGTAGGTCCTGGGACCCCCTCCATCCTATAGGTCCTGGGACCCCCTCCATCCTATATGGCCCCCAGCGTCTGGAACCTCCTTCATTCTGTAGGTCCTGGGACCCCCCTCCATCCTATAGGGCCCCCAGCGTCTGGAACCTCCTTCATTCTGTAGGTCCTGGGACCCCCTCCATCCTATATGGCCCCCAGCGTCTGGAACCTCCTTCATTCTGTAGGTCCTGGGACCCCCTCCATCCTATAGGCCCCCAGCCTGGGACCCCCTCCATCCTGTATGGCCCCCCGTCTGGGACCTCCTTCATTCTGTAGGTCCTGGGACCCCCTCCATCCTATATGGCCCCCAGCGTCTGCGACCTCCTTCATCTGTAGGTCCTGGGACCCCCTCCATCCTATAGGTCCTGGCCCCCATCGTCTGGGACCCCCTCCATCCTATATGTTCACACAGCAGCCAGAATCTCCGTTATTTGGTCAGCGTTGGGCAGATTGGCCTCAGTTCCTGTTCTAGTGACCACACAGGAAGGAAAGTCACCTTCTGCAGTGGGGGAGGGGGGGGGGGGGGGAATCTCACGTTCTCACGGTCTATAAAAAGAAATGTTTTGGGTGGATAACCGCAGAGGAGGAGCCCACGGAGCCCGGAGCCCATGGAGACCACGGAGCGTTGTATCCAGAATATTGAGAACGCATGTCTCTGTCCGGCTGTCACAGAGGCAGTAAAGGGGAACTCCGGCCACATATGAGAACTCCACACTGAGTCCAGTCCCGTCTATTCCAGGCACTTATAAATGCGGCATTGGACCGAGATTGGTGACCGAGATTGTATGGACCGAGATTGGTGGACCGAGATTGGTGGACCGAGATTGGTGGACCGAGATTGGTGGACCGAGATTGGTGGACCGAGATTGGTGGACCGAGATTGGTGGACCGAGATTGGTGGACCGAGATTGGTGGACCGCTGATGAACAGGAAGCTGGTCGCCATCCCTACCAATCTGACATCATGGTGGAGCTGGCACAGCACAGCCTACAGGAACAGAGTTTCACCACCGATTACTCCTGTGTAATATGGATTTGGGGGCCTCTCCTGCACCCAGGTTACACCTGTAGCCCATGTATGGATTTGGAGTACCCCTCTTGCACCCCCAGTCTAGATTTAGGGTGCTTCTCTTGCCTCCATAGTACTCATGATCTGTGTGGATTTGGGGGTGTCTCACTGGCCCAGCACCCACCTTTGACTCCTGTGGAAGATGTAGGTCCTTCACCATACACATGACTCCCATGTCTGGATTGGGGTGCCTTCCATACTGTGCACCCCCATTACTTATGTCTAGATGGAGGTTGCCTCTCCTGCACCCACATAACTCCATTGGTGTGTCTAGATGTGGGGTACCTCCCCTGCTATGCACCCATATTACTGTTGTGGTTTTGGGGTGCCTGACCAGCACCCATATCCAACACCTGTGATTTTATGCTTGGATTTGGGGTGCACCCACAAGTCTGGGCCTGTGGATTGTGCCGGGATTTAGGGGTCTCCCTGCCATACAACTCCTGTGGTCTATGAGATGTGGGGTACCACCTCTCTACACCCACAATATTACTTGGGATGCCTCAAGTGCACCCACACAACTCCTGTTATGGTGGGGATTTGGGGTGTCTCCCTGCTATGCACCCCCATATGACTCCTGTGGTCTATGGCTAGATGTGGGTTACCTCCCCTGCACCCCCCTATGACTCCTGTGGTCTATGGCTAGATGTAGGCTACCCCCCTGCAGTCTATGGCTAGATGTAGGCTACCCCCCCTGCACCCCCCTATGACTCCCGTGGTCTATGGCTAGATGTAGGCTACCCCCCCCTGCACCCCCTGACTCCCGTGGTCTATGGCTAGATGTAGGCTACCCCCCCTGCACCCCCCTGACTCCCGTGGTCTATGGCTAGATGTGGGTTACCCCCCTATGACTAGATGTGGGTTACCCCCCCTGCACCCCCCTATGACTCCCGTGGTCTATGGCTAGATGTGGGTTACCCCCCCTGCACCCCCCTATGACTCCCGTGGTCTATGGCTAGATGTGGGTTACCCCCCCCTGCGACTCCCGTGGTCTATGGCTAGATGTGGGTCACACCCCCCCTGCACCCCCCCCTATGACTCCCGTGTCTATGGCTAGTGGGTACACCCCCCCTGCACCCCCCTATGACTCCCGTGGTCTATGGTTAGATGTGGGTTACCTCCCCTGCACCCCCCTATGACTCCCGTGGTCTATGGCTAGATGTGGGTTACCCCCCCCTGCACCCCCCTATGACTCCCGTGGTCTATGGCTAGATGTGGGTTACCCCCCCCCCCCCTCCTGTGGTCTATGGCTAGATGTGGGTTACCTCCCCTGCACCCCCCTATGACTCCCGTGGTCTATGGCTAGATGTGGGTTACCTCCCCTGCACCCCCCCTATGACTCCCGTGGTCTATGGCTAGATGTGGGTTACCTCCCCCCCCCCTATGACTCCCGTGGTCTATGGCTAGATGTGGGTTACCCCCCCCCCCCCCCCACGCCCCATATGACTCCCGTGGTCTATGGCTAGATGTGGGTTACCTCCCCTGCACCCCCCTACAACTCCCGTGGTCTATGGCTAGATGTGGTTTACCTCCCCTGCACCCCCCCTATGACTACTGTGGTCTATGGCTAGATGTGGGTTACCCCCCCTGCACCCCCATATGACTCCTGGGATATACCCCTCCCCCAATACACACAGTGTAGCACTTTCTTCTACCTGCAGGAGTCACTGGGGTCTACACCACGCAGGGATGGGCCCCCCACCCTTCCCAAAATGTAAGCTGTCCCACCCACCGCCCCCTCCCCCCACAAAGGAACATCCACACCCCCCCCCCAGAAGAAAGAGGCGGGGAGAGGATAACCGTAGGTTTAATCAGGTTATTGCCATCAATACAGAAAACAAACAGAATCTGGACCCGTAATTACAGTAAACCCCCCCATGGAGTGAGTGCCCCCCCCATCCCCCCCCCCCCCCAGCAAGGCGCCCCGGCTGACAGCCCATCATCAACTCCCATAGGAAGACAGACTGAAACCCTCAACCAATCCCCTTCCCCCGAATCTTTGTGGCTTCTGCTCTGGTGGAACCGTTGTCACCGGTACAGGAAATGGGGGGGGGTCTCACCAATGGGGACACATACTAAAACCGCTAAAAAAGCAACTCTGGATCAGTTTCTGGGCTTTCAGGGGCCCCAGGGAGGAGCACATCACCTCTACCGGTTTGCAGCGTCCCCTAAAAACACCCAACGGCCTGAAGGTCGCATAAAAGGGCAAGTAAAAGAGGCGGTGGCTGGCCGGTGCGCCCTCCCCGGGGGCCCCACTTCCTCCTGACGGGGACAACCACTGAGGACACGCCCCCACCAAGGGTTAACCAGAAGTCAGCACTTCCAGGAAGTATTTGGCCCTCATCCAGCTCACCGCAAAACAGAACTAAAAAGACATAAAATCTCTAAAACGAGAAAATGACAAAAGACCCTCCCAACACCCCGCCCACGTACAGACGGTCCAATAGGAGGAGAGCCCATGCCGGACAGGAACTGCTATTGGCTGGGACTGCTGGCGGCTCCGTTCTCCGCAGCGCCATACTCCGTATATTTCTTGGCACTCCCCTGCACCCGGGCAGCAGGATACTTCTTGGCATTCAGCTCCATCTTGGCGAGGACGGCACGTGGCAGATCCACGTGGCACTTCTCTGCCAGTTCCAGCAGGTAGATGAGGACGTCACTCAGTTCATGAGAGAGGGACTCCCGCTGAGACTGCGACCAATCGGGGAGGCCTTCCGAGACTTCCCCCTGCCACTGGCTGTGGACGACAAGAGAGCGTTAGACCACGGCGAGCACCACACTGCCTCATGAATATGCCCCTCCCCCATTCAACCCATACTAACCATGACTGACTGGACTCCTCCCCCACCAGCCCCCCCAATCACTCGGTTTTCAGGACCCCTCATCATACCAACCCTCTGACCAGGACCCTTCATACCACCAGGCCTCCTCCCCTCCCCCCCCCCCCCCCCGTCTGACCAGGATCCATCGTGCCGCCAACCCCCCCCCCCGTCTGACCCCCGTGCCCCCCCCCCCCCACCAGGATCCATCGTGCCACCAACCCTCCCCCCCCCCGTCTGACCAGGATCCATCGTGCCGCCAACCCTCCCCTCCCCCCCCCCCCCACCAGGATCCATCGTGCTACCAACCCCCCCCCCCGTCTGACCAGGATCCATCGTGCCACCAACCCTCCCCCCCCCCCCCCATCTGACCAGGATCCATCATGCCACCAACCCTCCCCCCGTCTCACCAGGATCCATCGTGCCACCAACCCTCCCCCCCCCCCCCCCCCCCCGTCTGACCAGGATCCATCGTGCCACCAACCCTCCCCCCCCCCCCCCCCCGTCTGATCAGGATCCATCATGCCGCCAACCCTCCACGTTTTACCAGAATCCATCATACTACCAACCCTCCCCACCTGACCAGGATCCATCATACAAACCCACTACCTCTGACCAAAACCCTCCATCACCCCACCAGCTGCCTACCACACAGTCTGAGCGGACCCCTCCTTTAAATCCCTAGTCTCCCTGACCCCCCCCAGGCCACATACTCACAAGAGCTCTGCCACCTCCCCCACTTCCCCGACCAAAGCCAGTAGAAGGTTCCGGGGCTGATGGAACTTGTTCCAGTCTCTCTCTGCGGTGAACTTCGCCTGTCGCTGGCGGCTAGAAAGGAAGACGACATTTCTGAGGGTTAAAAGTCTGATCTCTGCGCCAATCTGCACCAAAACCCCTTTGTATCGGCCACACAACGTCCCCAACAGCAGAGGACCCCTACAGAGATCCCCGCCACGGGTCAGCCACCGAGGACGTCCGCCACCCCGATCCCCGCCACCGAGGACGGCCGCTACCCCGATCCCCGCCACCGAGGACGGCCGCTACCCCCCGATCCCCGCCCCCCGGCCGGGATCCCCGCCACCGAGGACGGCCCGCTACCCCGATCCCCACCACGGGTCAGCCACCGGGTCAGCCAACGAGGACGTCCCCTACCCCGATCCCCACCACGGCTACCCCGATCCAGCCAACGAGGACGTCCGTCCCCGATCCCCGATCCCCGCCACGGGTCAGCCACCGAGGACGTCCGCTACCCCCCGATCCCCGCCACGGGTCAGCCAACGAGGACGTCCCCTACCCCGATCCCCGCCACGGGTCAGCCTACCGAGGACGTCCGCTACCCCCATACCCACCACGGGTCAGCCACCGAGGACGTCCGCTACCCGATCCCCGCCACGAGGGTCAGACACCGAGGAGGACGGCTACCCCTACCCCGATCCCCGCCACGGGTCAGACACCGAGGACGTTCCCCTACCCCGATCCCCCCACGGGCCAGCCCGAGGACGTCCGCTACCCTGATCCCCGCCACGGGTCAGACACCGAGGACATCCACTACCCCGATCCCCACCACGGGTCAGACACCGAGGACATCCCCTACCCCGATTCCCAGCCACGGGTCAGACACCGAGGACGTCCCCTACCCCGATCCCAGCCACAGAGGACGTCCACTACCCTGATCCCCGCCACGGGTCAGACACCGAAGACGTTCGCTACCCCGATCCCCCCGAGGACGGCCGCAATCCCCGCCCCGAGGACGTCCGCTACCCCGATCCCCGCCACGGGTCAGACACCGAGGACGTCCGCTACCCCCATACCCGCCACGGGTCAGCCACTGAGGACGTCCGCTACCCCGATCCCCCCACGGGTCAGACACCTGAGGACGTCCACTACCCCGATCACCACCACGGGTCAGACACTGAGGACGTCCACTACCCCGATCACCACCACGGGTCAGCACACTGAGGAGTGATGTCCATTACCCAGAATTCCAGATCAGACCCCTCCCACTAGGGAAGTGCTGCCTTCTGGCTGGACAGAGGTACCCCTAACATCAGCATCCCAATCAGAACGGGGGACAGAGACCACCCCAGACTTTGATCAGTGACAGGCAGCTGCTACTACCACTCCCAGCATGCACTGCTAGTGCCCTGTCTGACCTACTGGCTGGCAGAGTTTGCTGAGAGTTGTAGTTTAGCAGCTCCAATGCATCCCCTCCCCCATTAGAGTGCACACTGCACCACACAGCCTCCTCAGTGACTTCCCTTTCCTGAGCTACAACCACATCACACAGGAAGGTCACCGGGGGAGGGTGTGCAGAGCCGGGCGAGAGAGTGCAACGGTGTGCCTGAGCCACCAACACCCTACCCCAACAACATGGGGAGTGTGTGGGGGGGGGGGGGGCTGTAGGAGGACAGAGGACAACCATACAGGAACCATCCCCCCCCTATGCGCAGGACCCCAGCACAGTCTGACCAATCACAACACTCACATTTCCTCCATACTGGGGGAGTCGCTGAACCGGAACTCAGTCTGGGGGCAGCCTGGGGGGACCGAGAGGCTGAGACACCGGAGAGCTCTGCAGGGGAGAGGAAAACAATTGTTAACACCTGGATAGAGGGACCCCGCCACCAGTCCCAGCACACCACAGAGACCCCCCCCCGCCACCAATCCCAGCACACAGAGACCCCCCCCCCCCGCCACCCAATCCCACACATACAGAGATCCAATCCCAGCACCACAGAGACCCCACCCCCCCGCCACCAATCCCAGCACCACAGAGACCCGCCACCAGTCCCAGCACCACAGAGACCCCCCCCCCCCCGCCACCAATCCCAGCACCACAGAGACCCCCCACCAGTCCCAGTCACCACAGAGACCACCCCCGCCCCAATCCCAGCACCACAGAGACCACCCCCCCGCCACCAACCCCAGCACCACAGAGAGCAATCCCAGCACCACAGAGACCCGCCACCAATCCCAGCACCACAGAGACACCACCCCCCGCCACCAATCCCAGCACCACAGAGACCCCCCCCCGCCACCAACCCCCAGTGCCCAGCACCACACAGCCCCTCACCACCCCCCCCCACCACCAAGTCCCAGCACCACAGACCGCCAACGGTGTGCCTGATCCCCCACACCCCCCACCCCCGCCAGCGCCACCAATCCCAGCACCACAGAGACCCCCCCGCCACCAATCCCAGCACCAATCACACCACCCCCCGCCACCAGTCCCAGCACCACAGAGAGAGACACCGATCCCAGCACCCAGAGACCCCGACCCGCCACCAATCCCAGCACCACAGAGACCGCCACCATCCCAGCACCACAGAGACCCCCCCCCCAATCCCAGCACCACAGAGACACCACCCCCCCGCCACCATCCCACACCACCCCCCCGCCACCAATCCCAGCACCACAGAGACCCCCCCCCGCCACCAATCCCAGCACCACAGAGACCCCCCCCGCCACCACCCCAGCACCACCCACCCCCCCCGCCACCATCCCAGCACCACAGAGACCCGCCACCAATCCCAGCACCACAGAGACACCCCCCCGCCACCAATCCCAGCACCACAGAGACCCCCCCCCCACCGCCACCAATCCCAGCACCACAGAGACCCCCCGCCACCAATCCCAGCACCACAGAGACACCACCCCCACCGCCAATCCCAGCACCACAGAGACACCCCCCCCCCCCACCAATCCCAGCACCACAGAGACCCCCCGCCACCAATCCCCCAGCACCACAGAGACCCCCCCGCCACGATCCCAGCACCACAGAGACCCCGCCACCACCCCCCAGCACCCAGAGACCCCCACCAATCCCAATCCCAGCACCCACCCGCCACCAAATCCCAGCACCACAGAGACCCCCCCGCCACCAGAACCCAGCACCACAGAGACCCCCGCCCCGATCCCAGCACCACAGAGACCCCCGCCACCGATCCCAGCACCACAGAGAGATCCCAGCACCACAGAGACCCCCACCGATCCCAGCACCACAGAGACCCCCCCCCCGCCACCAGCACCCCAGCACCACAGAGACCCCCCCACCAATCCCAGCACCACAGAGACCCCCGCCACCAATCCCAGCACCACAGTCCCAGACCACAGAGACCCCCCCGCCACCAATCCCAGCACCACCACAGAGACCCCCCCCCGCCACCAATCCCAGCACCACAGAGACCCGCCACCAATCCCAGCACCACACCACCCCCGCCACCAGTCCCAGCACCACAGAGACCCCGCCCCAAGCACCCAGCACCACCAGTCCCAGCACCACAGAGACACCCCCCCCCCCAATCCCAGCACCACAGAGACCCCGCCCCCAATCCCAGCACCACAGAGACCCCCCCCCAATCCCAGCACCACAGAGACACCCCCGCCACCAATCCCAGCACCACTACATACTTCTCTGCCCCCCACCCATAGCTCAGCCTTCACTGGGCACATGCTGGTCCCTCTCACCTGCATCTTGCTACACCCACGTGGCTCCATGTGATCTTCCAGGAAAGGCGGGGCCTCCTCCGTACTTATAAGGCTTCCAACCAATCAGCGACGCCGCTACCTCCCGCTCTGCACGCGGCTGCTATAGCGACGAGACCCGCCCTCGTAGAAGGAAAACTACCCCGCCCACCCCGAACGTAACTGCCCCTCCAATCAGAGACCGAACAAAGAGCATTCAGGTACGGCGGCAGTGCACTGTTGCCATGGTGACCGTCCGACCCACCCCTCCTATGTATTCCCCTCCCCTTCCGCCTCAGGTCCGCGAATCTCCTGCGGACTCTTCCCTGCCCCTCCCCTCACCGGAAACCCCCACTCTACAGGAGGCGTCCCCCCATGAAGATGTGTCTCCCTGACGCCTCTGCGCATGTCACAGTTTCAGTCACGATCAATTGATTGCTGAACTGCTGCATCCACCTTGTAGAGTTCTCCCTCCTGGCAATGTCTTGTCACGTGACTTCATCATCATACATTTCCAGTTCTGTCCAATGGATGGCGATCGGCCACTGCTGCCGGAAACCGGGGGGGGGCACACCTTCATGGGGGGGGCACACATCTTCATGGGATTCCTCTTCATGGGGGGGACACATCTTCATGGGGGGGGGGGGGACACATCTTCATGGGATTCCTCTTCATGGGGGGGGACACATCTTCATGGGATTCCTCTTCATGGGGGGGGATTCTCTTCATGGGGGATTCCTCTTCATGGGGGGGGGACACATCTTCATGGGGGGGACTCCTCTTCATGGGGGGATTCCTCTTCATGGGGGGGGGACACACATCTTCATTGGATTCCTCTTCATGGGGGCTGCTCTTCATGGGGGACATCTTCATGGGGGGGGGGGACACATCTTCATGGGGGGGGGGGGGACACATCTTCATGGGGGGGACATCTTCATGGGGGGATTCCTCTTCATGGGGGGGGGGGGGGGGACATCTTTATGGGGGGACTCCTCTTCATGGGGGGGACATCTTCATGGGGGGATTCCTCTTCATGGGGGGGGGGGACATCTTTATGGGGGGACTCCTCTTCATGGGGCGACTCCTTTTCATGGGGGGACGCATCTTCATGGGGGGGGACACATCTTCATGGGGGGGACTCCTCTTCATGGGGGGACTCATCTTGATGGGGGGGACACATCTTCATGGGGGACGCCTCTTCATGGGGGGGGACGCATCTTCATGGGGGGGGGGGGGACGCATCTTCATGGGGGGGGGACTCCTCTTCATCGGGGGACGCATCTTCATGGGGGGGGACGCATCTTCATGGGGGGACTCCTCTTCATGGGGGGACGCATCTTCATGGGGGGGACGCATCTTCATGGGGACGACTCCTCTTCATCG